TTATGTGGGATTAATGTCTAAGTCCATAACTATATTTGGTATGTACTTGACCCGACCGGCATGGTCCATTTGGGTTGCACTTCACCGGCACAATTTATATGGATAGTCTTTTGAGAATAGTATATTTATGATTTATATTAATATATTATAAGTTCTAATATATTAATATGGAATCATATTATTAATTAGTATTGATCAAGAATTAATTTAGAATTAATTAAGTGATCAAAAAGAACTAATTAAATATGGACTCTTATATATATGGAATGGGCCAAGTTCATTTAGGTTGGGCTAAGCTTTCATGGATGGTCCATGGAGCTTTTAACCCATGGATCCTAGGTAAATGAAAGGTCATGGGTATTAGGGTTTACATGGATGTAACCCTAATCCTCCATAATATATAAAGGGGTCCTTGGCTCACAAAATTGGGACAAGTGTGTGAAAATAAGAGTGGACCGATTTTAGTGTGCATATATATTCTCTCAAGTTCTTCCAAGGTGTTTTGGTGATTTGTGATTGCATTTGAGACTTCCACACTATTGGGGCTAAGCTCTTAAATCTTGAAGACATCAAGCTACATCAAAAGTATGTCATCTAACTAGAACTTTGTAGTATAGGTGCTTATAATATGCTAGTTAGGATGAAACCTTGGAATATTTAATATTTGCATGTATAATAGAGAAAACATAGATCCAAGGTTTATAGGGTTGCATGTACACCATTGGAGTGTTAGAATGCTCAAAACCCAACAGTGGTATCAGAGCCATGGGTTGTTTTCTGTTATATTGATGCAAATTTTTTATTTTCAAGTTGAAAAAAAAAGGAAAAAAAAACATGACGTTTGTCAAATTTTAAGATAATTACTTGTTTTGTGAAAAACGAATTATTTGTAAAATTTGAATAATTTGTTATATGAGTTGAATTATGTCAAATTTAGTAAAAGATAAAATGATATCATTATTTTATTAGTTTTAAAAGTTTGATCTAAATGTTTTAAGGAGTTACATATTTTGTCATAAATTTTGGAGCTCAAAAGTTTTTGTTTTAAAGTTGTGATCTTAAGGGTTTTTGAAACTTCCATAAGTTATGGATATGAAAGTTTTTTTTAAAAAAAAAATTGATTCAAAGTTTTTATGGAGTTACAAAATTTGGTGTTAATTTTTTAAAGAATTTCATAACTTGTTCTTAAGTTATGGAACATGGAAAGTTTCATCATAAAACACCATTAATTCCATAAGTTATGGAATCCGAAGGTTTTCAAGAACTACAAAACTTGCCCTCAAGTTTTGGAATTTGAGAAAAGTTTTTTATGAAAAAAAGAATTGAATTCTAAAACTCTTGGGTTCATAACTTAAACAATTAATTAAATGGTTTTAATTTTGAGTTTAATAATTGGAATTATGATGTTTTGTTGAATAGTTCAATTAACTCTTATGGACTTTATTAATAGTTAATTAAAGCGTTTAATTAAAAGAGTATTATTAATCCATAAATATATGGTTTGAGTTTAATTAAATTAAATCGTTTTAATTAATAGATTAAACCACCAAGTATTTTAAATGTCTAAAATACACCCTTATACTATTATAATATTAAAGTTTAATATATTATATGTATAAGAGCAAGTCGTCTTACCATTAGTAGGCCTCATTCACGATGCCGGTCTATAAGGGGGGTATAAGGTTACTGCCTATAAAATGACAGTTTAATGGGTGTCCACTCTCACTCACCGCTTCCTTGACCGGTGGAGGGTCGTTAGCCGAACAGGTAGGACAAGGACTATAATTCTCTCCCTTCATGTAAGTAAATAATAAAAATACTAAGTAACTAACACTTATAAATTCCCAATCTTAGTTACTTAGAAAATGTGAATAAGGTGCTAATCCATGAAATTACACTTTGCACTTTGTTTAAGCTTTTAGTGGAGCGTGTGTGGTTAACCGGCACACTAACCTGGACTTAACAAGGT